AGCCTACAACTACAACAGCGAAGCCCGTCGTTCGCCTGATGCCGAGTTACCGCAACCCAACACGTCGCAAGACACACTTCGCCTCGGCAACGACAGTGATGACGACGTGGTCGAAGTTACCAGCTTCCACGACTACGACCGTCTCCACTACGAAAAGACCAACGAAACCGGTCTTCGGGTTCTCGGCCTCGCCGTTGCAGTTCGCCACACCTCGCCCAAGGAACCAACCACTGTCCGCCAAGCTCTGTCTGGTCCCGACAGTGACAAATGGAGAGCAGCCATGGCCGCCGAAATCGCGTCGCTGAAGAAGCGCGGCACCTGGAAGCTGGTCCCACGGTCATCGGCAAAGGGGAGAAAAATTCTCAGCGGCAAATGGGTTTTCCGCATCAAAACTCTCGCCGATGGCTCGATCGACAAGTACAAAGCACGCTGGGTGGTGCGGAGATTCGAGCAAACTCACTTGGTGGATTTCACTCTCACCTACGCTCCAGTCGGCCGTCACACCTCGGTGCGCATTCTCATCTGCATCGCCGCCGTCAAACAGCGACCGCTCCGGCAAATCGATGTTGGAAGCGCTTTTCTGTACGCTCCCGTCGATGCCATCATCTTCGTCGAGCAGCCGCACGCATTCGAAGAAAGCGATGGTGCCGTGTGCCTCCTCCAAAAGTCCCTCTACGGAATCAAGCAAGCCCCTCGTCTGTGGCAGCAGTACCTGCATTCCGTCCTCCTTGAGCTCGGCTTCACTCAGCTGCCGCACGACCTCGGAATGTTCAGGCGGGAGTCGCGCGGGAAATTCATCCTCCTCGTCGCCTACGTCGACGATCTCCTCTACACCGGGGACGACACGGAGCTACTCGACCAATTCGAGGCCGACATCAAAGAGAAGCTAGAGGTGACCGTCAACCACAACGTCACTCAGTTCCTCGGCCTCAACGTCACTCAGTCCGCCTCCTCCATTCACCTCTCCGCCGCCAAATACGCCGAAACACTCGCGAAGCGGTTCGCCATCGCTCCCATCAACCTCACTACCCCCTACCGCACTCCTCCTCCCAACCACGAGCCCGACACCACGCCGCTCTCTCCCGACGACCATCGTCTCTATCAGCAGCAGCTGGGATGTCTCCTGTTCGCCGCCGTCACGTGCCGGCCCGATCTCTCCTACGTCGCTAGCCAGCTCGCACAGTACCTGAAGCGACCTGAAGGGGAGAATCTACTGGATCTACGCCGAGCACTGCAGTACTTCATCTCCACTCCCGACGTCGGCCTCACCTACGAAGCTAACCTCACCGCTACTCTGCAGCTTCATGGCTACGTAGATGCTGATCACGCTGGAGATGTTGACAACAGACGCTCCCGCACAGGATTCATTTTCCAACTCCAACCCGTTGGACTCATCTCTTGGAACTCCCAGAAGCAGGAACTCATCGCCCTTTCGTCAGCCGAAGCAGAATTCATCGCAGCCAGCGCAGCTGTTCGCGAAGGACTGTACCTGATGGAGCTCCTGCAAGAGGCGAAGGTGACGATGAACGGGCACTTCACGTTACTCTGCGACAATCAGAGCGCGATAAAGATCGCGAACAAGCCCGGCTTCGTCAACCGCACCAAGCACATCGGCCTTCGCTACTTCTTCGTGAAGGACGAAATCGACAAGGGAGACTCAAGCTGACGTACTGCCCGACCGGTGACATGGCAGCCGATTTCCTGACGAAGAAACTGCCGGTGACATGGCAGCACTGCGCCGACCTCTGCGGGATCACCAAGAAATCCCACGTGGCCCACCTTCAGGAATGAAGGGGAGTGTTGGAATAACCGAAAGGTTATAAAGGCATTCCCGAAGTTGTCCCACTGTACCAGTACCGCATGAGCTCATATAGAGCACGCGGAATGTCGAGGGTCACCCGAAGGTCAACCGTTTGAGGAAGTCAACGGTCGTGACCCTTGACGATCCGGTAACCGCGCGACAGTTAACTGACTGAAACACGGTAACTGTCAAGGACAGCAATAGTCGCGGTTACTGTAGTTATGTAATACAGTTAATAAGGGAATGTACCCCTCAGAGTACATGGCTAGTTAGTTGCTATTTAATTCCCTGTACTCCTATCTTTCAATCATCTTGTTCTCTTTCAACTCTTGTTAAACAAGGTCACTACAGAGACTTCACAGTCTCATCTCAGGCTTAACATATTCTATCCTGTCCACTGATCCTTCGGTTGTATCAGCATAATGCACTAGCTTCCACAAATCATTCCCATATCAACATGGATAAAGCTTATATAAACAGTCCCTGCCCACAAGCAGCCATACCATCAACACATTGTGAGAGAGGGAAGTGAACTCAAGCAAGTCGGTGAGTGTGTGCAACCCTTGGTACAAATTTGTTGATTGTTTGTCAGTCAGTGCTCTTCAAGTTTCAACTTCCAACCTCTCATTCCCAACCAACCACTTCCCCTTACCCTGCTTCCCTAATCGCCCATGGCGGGTAAGGGAGGCAACAAACAATGCTCGAGAGGCACGAGAAAGGGGCCAAGCTTGTAGCATGTTCGGACAAAAAGCAGATGCAAGGGTCTTACATCTCACCTTTCCACCGGCCCCTACCGTCCACCCACTGTTAAACATCATATGCTGTAGTTGTGTAGGCTACAGTGGGTTTGGTTATAGGGGGTACAGTTTGTTAGGGTTTTGTACTTGTACTCCCAACCTTCCTAGTGCACACATTCCTCTCTTCTTTCACATGGTATAGAGCAGGTTCCCTAGTGGGACCATCTCTTCCTAGGGCCCACCTTGAAGAACCTTTTTTTTAGCTGCCCGAAGCGCATTTCCGGCCTGCCCGAAAATTCCCTAGCCCGTCGCGGCCCCTTGCCCGCCCATCGCGGCCCCTTAGCCGCCCGTCGCGGCCCCTTAGCCGCCCGTCGCGGCCCCTTAGCCGCCCGTCGCGGCCCCTTAGCCGCCCGTCGCGGCCCCTTAGCCGCCCGTTGCGGCCCCTTACCTAGCTCGTCGCGGCCCCTTAGCCGCCCGTCGCGGCCCCTTAGCCCGTCGCGGCCCCTTACCCGCCAGTCGCGGCCCCTTACCCGCCAGTCGCGGCTCCTTACCCGCCCGTCGCGGCCCCTTAGCCGCCCGTCGCGGCCCCTTAGCCGCCCGTCGCGGCCCCTTAGCCGCCCGTCGCGGCCCCTTACCCGCCCGTCGCGGCCCCTTACCCGCCCGTCGCGGCCCCTTAGCCGCCCGTCGCGGCCCCTGGCGGCCCCCCACGCCGCTCTTTCGTGGCCCTGCAGCAACGGGCCACTGCAGCAGCCGCCCCTGCAGCAGCCGCCCCTGGCCCCTGGAGCAGCCGCCCCTGCAGCAGCCGCCCCTGCCCCTGCAGCAGCCGCCCCTGCAGCAGCCGCCCCTGGCCCCTGGAGCAGCCGCCCCTGCAGCAGCCGCCCTTGGCCCCTGGAGCAGCCGCCCCTGCAGCAGCCGCCCCTGGCCCCTGGAGCAGCCGCCCCTGCAGCAGCCGCCCCTGGCCCCTGGAGCAGCCGCCTCTGCAGCAGCCGCCCCTGGCCCCTGGAGCAGCCGCCCCTGCAGCAGCCGCCCCTGGTCCCTGGAGCAGCCGCCCCTGGAGCAGCTGGCCCCTGCAGCTGCCGCGGAGCCCTCGCCCTGCCGTGGTGCCGGCCCTGCCGTTGCAGCCGTCGCACACCTATCTTTCTTGCCACTGGTGAGCACTGTCCTGCCCGTACTGCTGTTACTGCTGCTCCTGCTGCTACTGCTCTTTCTACTCCTACTGCTGCTAGTGCTGCTACTGCTGCTCTTGCTGCTACTGCTGCTACTACTGTTCGTGCTGCCCCTACGGCTCCTCCCCTCTCTACTGCTCCTGCTGCTCCTGGCGTGGCCAGATGCAGCTCCAGCGCCGTCCGCGTGAGTCCCTCACGCCCCCACAGCTTCATGAGTGGTACGCTCGCTGGGGTTGTCGGGGTGGCCGTCGTGGGAGTCGTTCTGGCGTGAGTAGTTTCGGGGCTTCTTGTAGTGGCCAGGTACAGCTGCGACGTCGTGTGCGCGCGGTCCCTTCGCCCCCGCAGCTTCATGAGTGGTACTTTCAGCGGGGGGGGGGTCACGGGGTTCTGCTCGCTGCCCGTACGTCATTCGCACTGGTGCTCGGACTGGCCAGCCTTGCGGGACGTTTGGTCACACAGCGTCCCGCTGCTTCGCCAGTCTGAGCGACGCCTGGCGTACGGAGTTTGGCGACGCGGCTGAGCTCCCCGACTGGGTGGAGCTGCGCCGGCGGAGGATAGATATCTATGCTCTTGTATGCATTGTCTACTAGTGATGTCGGTGACTGTTCCCTGAGTGCTCCGCCCGACCCGGGCGGTGCAGCTGCTGCTCTAGGTGCCAGTGAGTCTGCTGCTCCAGGTGCTAGTGAGTCTGCTGCTCCAGGTGCTAGTGAGTCTGCTGCTCCAGGTGCTGGTGAGTCTGCTCTCTCAGGTACCACGTCTGCTCCGACGTCGCACACCTTCACCCTTGACTCGGGTGCTTCCCGCTCCTTCTTTCGAGACCGCACCACTCTCACGCCGCTCAGTCGGCCGGTTGCGGTCTCCCTGGCAGACCCCTCTGGGGGTCCTGTTCTTGCCCACTACTCCACTGTTCTACCGTGTCCAGCGGTCCCGTCTGGCTCCCTGTCGGGTCTTTACCTCCCCTCGTTCTCTACGAACTTGGTGGCGGGTGCTGACCTACAGGATGGGGGGGTTGACCAGTTCACCCCTGCGCGTCAGCGGGTGACCCACTGCACGTGTGCGGACACGGGCCGACACTTGGCCACGTTTACCCGTCGGCCGGGGTCGAGCCTGTACACCCTCACTACCGAGTCTCCTCCGGTTGCTGTGCCTGGTCAGGTAGCTGCGTCGGGTCAGGTGTTTGCTGCGGCGTCTCGGTCTGGTCCTGAGTCTGCCCCCTGCTCGTGTCGCCTCCTGTCCCACGAGACTCTTCTCTGGCACCACCGTCTTGGTCACCCCTCCCTGCCTCGTCTCCGAGGCATGGCCTCTCGTGTCCTGGTCTCTGGTCTTCCCCGGTCGCTCCCTCCCCTCCCCCCGGGGCCTGCCCCTACCTGCGTCCCCTGCGTCGAGGGGTGGCAGCGCGCCGCTCCTCACTCCTCCGAGTTTCCGCCGACAGAGGCTCCGCTGCAGACTCTTCACATGGACGTGTGGGGCCCAGCCCGCGTCCGTGGACAGGGTCATGAGCGTTACTTCCTACTGGTGGTTGACGACTACTCGCGTTACACCACAGTCTTCCCCTTGCGCCGCAAGGATGAGGTCACTGAGGTGTTGATCGACTGGATCCGCGCTGCTCGTCTCCAGCTCAGGAAGAGTTTCGGCTCTGACTTTCCTGTTTTGCGTCTGCACTCCGACAGAGGTGGGGAGTTTTCCTCTGGCCCTCTGCGAGCCTTCTGTCGTGCGAGGGGCATCCGCCAGACGTTCACGCTTCCGGCCTCTCCACAGCAAAATGGGATTGCTGAGCGCCGCATTGGCATGGTCATGGACGTCGCTCGTACGTCCATGATCCATGCGGCTGCTCCCCATTTTCTGTGGCCGTTTGCGGTTCAGTACGCGGCGCGTCAGATCAACCTTCAGCCCCGGGTCTCCATGCCGGGGACCTCCCCCACTCTGCTGTGGACGGGGAAGGTTGGCGATGCGTCTGCGTTCCGTGTCTGGGGATCTCGGGCTTTTGTCCGAGACTTGTCTGCGGACAAGATGTCCTCCCGTGCTGTTCCCTGCGTCTTCCTTGGCTTCCCCCCTGACGCGCCTGGTTGGCAGTTTTACCACCCCACCTCGCGCCGTGTTCTGTCCTCCCAGGACGTCACGTTTGACGAGTCGGTTCCGTACTACCGTCTCTTCCCCTACCGCACTGCCCCGCTCCCCCCCCCGCCGCTCTTCCTTACGCCAGGTCCCCCCCCGGTAGACCCCCTCCCCCCTCAGGGTCCTGCTCCTTCAGGTGTGTCTCAGGTAGACCCCCCCCCCCTTGGCTGAGCCTTTGGAGGTCACTTCCGACACCTCTGGCCCACCCGAGGGGGGTGACGCTGCTGCTGGCGCCCCGTCGGCCTACCGCCGCGCACCACGCTTGGAGACCCCTCCGGGGTTCCCTCCGCGACCTTCTTCACCGCCTCTGCAGCCGGTTACTGTTGACTCTGGTGCTGCTGGGGGTGGTGCTCCTGGAGGTGCTGCGTCTGGGGGTGCGGAATCTGGGGGTGCTGAGCCAGCGCGTGAGGAGACTGGAGGTTCTGCGCTTGGGGGTACTGTGTCTGTGGGTGCTGAGCGTGTGTGTGCGGAGTCTGGGGGTGCTGAGTCTGGGGGTGCTGAGTCTGGCGGTGAGACGCTTGAGGGTACTGGGACTGCTGGTGCGCGGCCTACTTGGAGTGGCCGCCTTCGTCCGCGTGTGCCTCTCACCACTCAGCAGCTGCACGACTGGTACGGTCGCCGTCAGCGTCGCGCTGCTGGAGCCCGGGACTCTGCTGCTCGAGGTACTGGAGCTGCTGGGGCTGGGGGTGCTGCGCCTGGAGGTGCTGCTGCTGGAGACACTGAGGCTGGAGACCCTGGGACTAGAGGTGCTGGTTCTGGGGGTACTGCTGCGGGAGACGCTGCGGTTGGAGACCCTGGGACTGGAGGTGCTGGTTCTGGAGGTGCTGCTGCGGGAGACGCTGCGGTTGGAGACCCTGGGACTGGAGGTGCTGGTTTTGGGGGTGCTGCTGCGGGAGACACTGCGGTTGGAGACCCTGGGACTGCAGGTGCCGGTTCTGGGGGTGCGGCTGCTGGTGACGCTGGTTCTGGAGCTGCTGGCGCTGGAGGTACCGGTTCTGAGGCTGGAGCTTCTGGAGCTGCTGGAGGCGCTGGCGCTGCTGGAGGTGCTGGCGCTGCTGGAGCTGCTGGAGCTGCTGGAGCTGCCGGAGCTGGTACAGCTGCGCCGACACGACTGTTCTTCGCTCCGCCTTCTCCGTCGTCGCTGCCGCCGCCTGACTCTCTTCTTCGTCAGGTTCTTACTCTCCCGTCGTCCACTGGTCTTCCGTTACCGGCTGGCTCACCGCTGCCTGCTCCTTCTCCTTACACTGAGCAGACAGGTAGTCTTGCTGAGCGTCGTGAGCCTGCGTCGCGTCCTGTCTCGCCTGTTCGTCCTGGTCGTACCGGTCGTCGTGTCGCTCGTGCGCGTCAGCAGACTGTCCCCAGCGCACACCTTGTCGTCCGTCGTCCTTCCTCTGCTCCGCTGCCTGCTCCTCTGCCTTCCCCACCTGCGTCCTCTCTGCCTGCTGTTCCGGACCCTGAGTCTGACCGGTTTCGCGCTGAGCACCCCACTGTCACGCGTCTGTTAGCCACTGTTGTCACTGACCCATCGTTTGAGTCTACTGCTGCGTCTGCCTTAGTCGCTGAGCTTGTCGACTTTGCTGCTGCCTGTCGTCTCGACTACGCCGCTAGTCTTGTTGCTGAGTCTGAGTCTGTCTGTCCTCCGTCCGTCGGGGGTGAGTGTGCTCTTAGCACGGACGTCCTTGAGGACAGGCAGGAGGAGTTCCAGTGTCTTGCTGCTGCTTTACCCCATCTTGTGTCCTCGCTGCTTGCCCCTGAGGGAGACCCGGATGCACTAGACATCCCGACTCCGCGATCTTACGCGGAGGCGATAGAGGGTCCCTACTCCTCTCAGTGGCAGGCAGCCATGGACGCAGAGATGGCTTCCTGGAAGTCCACAGGCACTTACGTTGACGAGGTTCCCCCACCTGGGGCGAACATCGTCAGTGGCATGTGGATTTTCAGGGTAAAGCGGCCGCCAGGTTCTCCGCCTGTCTTCAAGGCGCGTTACGTGGCTCGAGGCTTCAGTCAGCGGCAGGGAGTTGACTACTTTCAGACCTTCTCTCCCACCCCGAAGATGACTACTCTTCGGGTGCTGCTACACATAGCCGCTCACCGTGACTACGAGCTTCACTCTCTGGACTTCAGCACAGCCTTCCTACAGGGCAGCCTGCACGAGGAGATCTGGCTGCGCCGCCCACCTGGCTTCACTGGGACGTTTCCTCCTGGCACCCAGTGGAGCCTCCGGCGGCCAGTCTACGGTCTCCGCCAGGCGCCGCGTGAGTGGCACGACACACTGAGGACTACGCTTGCGGCTCTTGGGTTTGCTCCTTCTTCTGCAGACCCGTCACTGTTTCTACGCACCGACACCTCCTTGCCGCCGTTCTACATCCTCGTGTACGTCGACGACTTGGTCTTTGCTACAGCTGACACTGCTGGACTCGCCCACGTGAAGTCCGAGCTGCAGAAGCGACACACGTGCACAGACCTGGGTGAACTGCGCAGCTATCTTGGCTTGCAGATCACTCGGGACAGAGCACGCCGCACCATTACCCTGACTCAGTCACACATGGTGCAGCAGGTCCTTCAGCGCTTCGACTTCACGTACTCCTCGCCTCAGGCCACTCCTCTGTCTACTCGCCACTCGCTCTCAGCTCTGCCTTCGGATGAGTCCGTAGAGCCGAGTGGCCCGTACCCAGAGCTTGTTGGCTGCCTCATGTACCTGATGACCTGCACTCGACCTGACCTGGCCTACCCTCTTAGCATCCTTGCACGCTATGTTGCTCCTGGGAGACACCGACCAGAGCACATGGCTGCAGCGAAGAGGGTTTTGCGCTACTTGTGCAGTACGTCGGGCATGGGGCTCGTGCTTGGAGGGCGGAGTCCAGTGGTCCTCACTGGTCACGCAGACGCGTCTTGGGTCGACGACCTGGCTACGCAGCGGTCGTCACAGGGTTACACCTTCAGCCTTGGTTCCGGCTCTGTTTCGTGGCGGTCCACCCGCTCGTCTTCTGTTCTCAGCTCCAGTTGTGAGGCTGAGATCTACGCGGGAGCCATGGCTGCTCAGGAGTTACGCTGGCTGACCTACCTGCTGACTGACCTTGGAGAGCCGCCTCGTTCTCCTCCAGTCCTGTACGTAGACAACAAGGCCATGCTGGCCTTGTGTCGGGAGCACAGACTGGAGCACAGAACGAAGCACATTGCTCTTCGTTACTTCCTTGCTCGTGAGCTGCAGCAGCGTGGTCAGCTGCGCCTTGCTTACGTGGCCTCTCAGGCCAACACTGCTGATATCTTCACCAAGGCACTTCAGCCTTGTGATCATCAGCGCTTTTGTACGTTGCTAGGTCTTGTGCCTACTTTGCCTCACTTGCTCACTTCTTGACCTCGCTTGTACTGTGATATATATATCTATACCTGCTCTTGTTTGTTTACCTTCATATATAATCTTGCATGTGAACTGGCCTTATGGCCTTGAAACGATGCTCGGAATGTGTGGTGACATTGTGATCCACCCTGAGCTTACCTTGCTTTGCTTGACTGGTCTTGTGACCACTTGTTCTCCCCCACTTTGCCTATGGGGGTGTGTTAAACATCATATGCTGTAGTTGTGTAGGCTACAATGGGTTTGTTTATAGGGGGTACAGTTTGTTAGGGTTTTGTACTTGTACTCCCAACCTTCCTAGTGCACACATTCCTCTCTTCTTTCACACCCACACGATCCCCGCGACGTTTCAATCTGCTCCTCCCTCACCCAGTGCCTTAGGGCGTGTTCCTACGGCCCCTTATCAGGCCAACCTCTTATCAAGCTCACATCAAAACACACTGAAAATCTCCTAAACCCAAAAACTCTCGCTACATTTACCAGGCAAGGCTGAGAAGAGGTATGCCTGATAAGAGCGTAGGAACACGCCCTTATGCATCAATATTTCGGGCTGTCGTGTTCTCTCATTTTTTTCTGTAGCAGCTGACCACGGAGTATTGGGCCCCAGCTTGTTAGCTCATGGTTTATATGTACAAAATATATATTTGAACAAACAATGCATGAGCATTCTGCTGTAAGCATCCACGTGAGCTGCTAGGCCGTTGAGTTTATTCGTCCTAGCAACTTGGGTGCTTCATAAACAATATCGTTGAATGGGATGTACATGTCTCTCGCATATGCTCGTGTCACTATGTCAAACGTAGCCTGCCCACATCAAAAGGAAACAATAACAACAGTTCAGAGCAGAAGTAGGACGAGGCAGCAAATCCCCCACCCCTCTCTCCTTGCTACCTCATTCCCCACCCTTCCGCCTACCTCTCCTCCACCTCTCTCCAACGCACCTTGTCATAGAGGCGGGCGATGCGCTTGTCAGCATCAGTGGCCTGCAGCGTGTGCCCGCTGTCAAACACGCCGTACGGCTCCGTGCCCAGGCGCTGCATCACCCACTGCACGCCCTCCATCATGCTCTCAAACCGCCCCACAAAGTCGTACTTTATTGAGTCCAAAGCGCAAAGCTCCACCTGCCCAGGAGGGATGACACACAGGGGAGGGCCAATCACAAGGCAGGCAGCGCAGGAGTCAGTCTCGTCACTAAGAGGCGTCCGCTCAGCCAAATCCTGAAAGCTAACAAATCAACCACCCCACTGCACCCACCTCACTGCTGCACGTGCCTGCTCCTGTCCCAACTGTCCCACCTGCCCCACGATTCGGCCACATCCAACGGCCCTCGTGTCCCCTGCAGCCTCTCTGCCAGCCGTACCTGAGTGTCGATGTGGTTGTCGGTGGGCGGGTGCTGCAGCGCTTCCTCTGTGAGCTGGACGAACTCGGGGAAGGAGAAGTTGCCGTCTGGATGCCGCGCCATCATGCTGCTGTACTGCGGTGCCCGCTTGAACAGCGCCTGGGGAAGGGGGGTATGGGGGTATGGGAGAGAGGAGCGAGCAGGGAGAAAGTGACGGGGAGTGCACAGAAGCGGTGATGAGAGCGGGCATGGCCGAGCGGGAAACGTGATGGCGGGTATCAGCGAAGAAATGCGATTGATTAAGGAGATAGAAATGGGAAAAGACATGAGCATGGTTGAGGAAAACCACTCTTTCCCTCCATCTCAGTTTCCCCCTTTTCCCTCCATCCCCTGCCCCAATTCCCCCCATCCCCGGCCCCCTCTCCCCCCCTCTCAACCCCTACCTCCCTCTCCCTTCCGCACCTGAGCCCAGTAGAGCCGAGCGCTGCCGTTGTTGAGGAAGTCGCGGGCCTTGACAACCTTGTCGAGGAACGCAGACGCCACGCGCGTGTACGGGTTGCGCACGAACGTGAAGCGCAGCACGTCGCGCCGTGACAGGAACCGCACGGCCTCGCGCTCGCCCAGCTCACTCAGCTCCGTGATGCCGTTGCCCTCCGACACGTGAATCGCCTTGAACTCCCGCGTACTCAGCTTCAACCCCCCCTCTCCCCCTCCTCCTGCTCCTCCTCCCCCCCCTGCTGCTGCTGCTCCCCCTGCTGCTGCTGCTCCGCCGCTCTCTGCTGCGCCAGCGGCTCCAGCAGCAGCAGAATCAGTGGCGTTGGTGGCGTCGGGGACGCCAAAGGCAGCGGTGACGTTGCCCTTGACGCGGAAGAGGCGGAACCAGAGCTTCCAGCTGGTGTTGGCCACCTTGGGCAACGCACAGTACGCCACCCTCAGCTCCTCTGTGAGGGTCGGAGAGAGGGTGAGCGGTGGGGAGGAGGAGTGGGCATGGGAGGAGAGGAAGCATGAGGCCCGTATGAACCAGAATGAAGGAGAGGAGAGGACCAGCATGGTGAGATAAAGGGTCAGCAGGAAGGGAAGATGTGCACAAGCGGTTAATGATTAATCCATGCTCATCCATAGTCCATGCACATGCAGCATGCAGCATCCCATGCACTTGTACAACTCTATGCGCGCACATAACCCCATCACGTGTACTCCATGCATGCATGATTCCATGCTTAAGCGAAGCGACCCGGCGTACACACTATGCAGCATCGCATCTCAGGTGCACTGCACTGAATGGTGCTACTCAGCTATCAGGCTGCAGTATGTGTCTGTTAGCGTCCACGATAATGTGGCCACGCACCATCGACGATAATGTGCTCGGCGAACTTCTGCTGGAGCAGCGGTGGCGGGCAGGGAGCGCCGCAGAGCGAGGGGGCCATGAGGTGGAAGGAGGGTGTGCGGGCAACAGCGCGCGCCATGATGAGGTTGAGCGCGGGCGAGGGGAAGGAGTAGAGCAGGCTGGGCGCCTCTGTTAGCAGCAGCAGCTCTGCCGTCTGGCATGGGGTTAAGTGGGGGGAAGATGGGGGAGAGAGAGAGAGGGAGGTTAGTGGGGAAGGCGAGATGGAGGGAGGTGAGAAGACCCTTTACAGGAAAATGCCACCAGGTAGAGGGGAAGGAGCAAGATTATGGGACGATGGTAAGAGATTCCCTCGACGGGACAGCAAGTCAACCAGGCAGGCAGGCAGTAAAACAGGCAGGCAGGCACTTACCAGGAACTGGGTGCAGCGCACAGCCTCTGCGAGAGTAAGCTCATGGTCACTCTTCCCCTTGCGCCGCAAACTCCACTCCGCGCCCAGCCGCGCCTCCCACCCGCCGGGCATGCTCTCAAACGGCGCACAGTCCAGCCCGCGCACGAGCGCCGCAAACGGCAGGTGCGGGGCACGGGACGGGTGGAAGGAGTCGGCTGCGATCACGGCGTGCGCTGGCACGGTGGCGGCTGCGACTGTGAAGTCGATGGTGGGGTGTGAGAGGAAGGAGGCGAGCAGGCGTCGGACTGTGCATGCGGAGAGTGGGGTGTGGGTGGGGCAGGACGGCACGCGCATGCGGTTGTAGCGCGGGTCCTGATGTGGGGGAAAGAAGGGGAAGGGGAAGAAGGGGAAGGGATGTTGCTGCGGGGAGTTTTGGGTCGTCTCATGACTCTCTCGGCTTTGAGGCGCCTCATAAAGGTGGGGTGTGGGTGGAGCAGGTCGGCACGCGCATGCGGTTGTAGCGCGGGTCCTGGTGTGGTGAAGGAGGTGGAGTGAAGGGGATGATGCACACAGGTGTGGGGCAGTGGGGCAGTTGGGAAGCGGGGAGAAGTGGGGAGGTGGGATGGAGCAGAGGGGCCAGGGTGAGGAAGATAGGGGCAGTGGGAGAGGAGAGAAACAGGGACAGCATGAAGCAAGCAAGAAGGTCCTTCTTTGCTACACTCTAAAAAACAGGAGCCTCTAAGGTACGCTCACGTGCAGGCTCGCCCCCATCCTACCATCGCTCCCATCCTACCATCGCCCCCATCCTACCATCGCCCCCATCCTACCATCGCCCCCATCCTACCATCGCCCCCATCCGACTATCACCCCCATCCAACCATCACCCCCATCCGACCACCACCCACCTCTATGAGTACGGCGACGCTGGCTCGCGTGCGCTTGATGTTCTCTCGCGCCAGCAATCGCTTGATGTGCCGCGTGGGTTGCAGGCCCCTGTAGCACCGCTCCACCCCCACCGCGTGCACACACGCCGTCAGCCCGTGCCGCTGCCCCCGTGCATGCATGGGACGGGGGTGGAGAGGGGGAGAGATGGAAGAGACGAGAGGGGGAAGGAAGGGGAGGAGGAAGGGAGGAGAGGGGGGGTGAGGCGGGCAGAGGTGGATGGAGATGCAGGGGAGGAGTGCGGTGAGCAGTTTGCAGTGAGCAGCGTGCAGGGAACAGGGAGCAGTGACCAGGGAGCAGGGAGCAGAGAGCAGGGAGCACTGACCAGCAGGGGCGCAGCGTCCTGCGAGACGAGCAGGTTGACGGTGGGCGAGTGGAAGGGCAGCGGGAGATGCCCCTTATCCGCACACTGCAGCCGCACCTGGTGCCCGCACACAGGGATGATGCGCGATGGGGCATGGGGGGTAACGGGTGGGGGATGGGGGGTTGGGGAATGGGGGTGAGGCCAACAACGGAGATACTGACTGGTTAGTTACACACTGGGGCGTGGGGCTGGGGGGGTGATGCGGTGAGCAGGAATGTCTCAACTTACAAGCTGACGCCAAGACGAGAAACAAACAGGATGCGAGGGAGTAGACTGACTGCTGCTTATTCCTTCATAGACAGCTCATTGCGTGTATCTTACCAAGCATTGCCTCTGTCATCCCCTTCTCCTCCCTTCCTACCCCTACTCCCCGTAATCCCCATTCCCTCCCCCTCCCCCTACTCCCCCCCCCCCCCCCCCTTCTTCCTCTCCCCCCTTCCGCTTTCCCTTGCGCCACTTACCTTGAGCGACTGAAACTCCTCCTTCTTTCCCCCCCGCTCCGCCACAACCTTCCCGCCCTGCACGCCCACCCATCCGGGGGGGAGGCGCGTGCGGAGGGGGAGGTTGGGCGGGAGGAAGAGGTCGCGCAGGTGCACGCGGGGGAGCAGGTGCGAGAAGCGCGTGTCCCACAGCACGCCCAGCTGCATGCGCTGCAGCGCCGCGTATGCTTGCGCCTGGCACAGCACCAGCAGGCACGCGGGCAGCGTGTGCTCCTGATGGGTTGGTGGGGATGAGAGGGGAGTGAGGGGCGGGCGAGGAGTGGGGGGACACTTTTTAAACGTGTAAGTCGCTTGCGCCTGGCACAGCACCAGCAGGCACGCGGGCAGCGTGTGCTCCTGGTGCGGGGGAAGGGGATGAGAGGGAGTGGCGGGCGGGGAGTAAGGGGACACTCTTGAGGCGCCTCGAAGGTCGCTTGCGCCTGGCACAGCACCAGCTGGCACGCGGGCAGCGTGTGCTCCTGGCGTGGGGGGAGAGGGGCGTTGGGGGGCAAGGGGCGGTGGGCGAGGGGTGAGTCCGGGGGAAGGGCCGGAGGGAGGGGGCAAGTGGCGAAGTGACGGAGGCGTGGGTTTGATTTGAGGAGGCGGAAGAAAGGCCTTTTGTTACTTGCTACGGTGCTGCACGGTTCTGTTGCGTGCAGTGCTCTATCCTGTTCAACACCATGAGGTTTCTTCTGGTATCCTTGATTATGGTCTTTAACTACTGTTCCGTAGCGCGCCATATTGCATCGCATCGCATCGCATCGCACCACATACCTTGACATGCACGACCATCTGCACGCCATCCCACGAGTCTTCCTCCCACACCGTAAGATTCGCCGCCATGCGCGCGGCGTCCTCTTCACTAGCGTCCGCCCCCACTATCATCCCCGCATCCTCTCCCCCCTCCTCGTTCTCCACTCCTCCCGCCGCTCCCGCCCCTTCACCGTAATCTTCTTTCCGTAAATCCGAGTCATTCTGCGCCTGCTCCTTTCCTTGCGCGTTCAAGTCTTGCGCCTCCGCGCCCGCGGATTTACTTTCCCCGAGACTGTCAGCTTCCGCTTCCCCCCATTGTCTCCGCCCATCCGCGCGGACAACCTCCCTGAAGTCCTCTACCGGCGCTCCTTCCGCCGGTCGCGAAGTCGAAGCGCGGATAGCGCGGGTGACGAAGGATGACGTCATGGGAAGTGTTAGCACGATTCCCGTAACGACAGCGGATGTGATGATACTGAGAATCGACACGTATAGTACCAAATGCCGGTCGCCGATTATCACGCTCTCGGATTTCACAGGTGCCTTGCATTTCGGCAAATCGCCATGGCAGTGCGAATTGCTGCAATCCCTGCTGTTCTTCATCGTGTTGCTCGACGACACGGGGTAATGCGATTCCGGGTTGCAAAGGCTGTACTTTGCTGAGCCCTCTTGCTGCTGAGCCCTCTTGCTGCTGAGCCTTGTTGAAATTACGTAGGCTTTAGAAAATAGGCAGACGATGACTGGGGGTTCTTGGGGCGGGAAAACGTTCTTATCGATGGCGGACCTCGGCCACTGTGCGCGAAGCTGCTATCTATAACCCGCAATGTTTTCGGGAGATAACAATGCTAGATGCATCAATTCGCAGGAATCAAATGCAGCAAAAAAGCTGGGTGGAACTTGGAGGTTGGTCCGTCAACATTTCAGAGGTGAGGGAAGGGAGCTGGTGGCCTTTCCTTGCGTTGTGGTGTGGCAGGCCAGTTGCTGCTCCCGTCCCGTGCGGATGTTTGGTTGGATTGGTGTATGGGAGAGCATGGATGGGAAGGTGGGGGGGTGGGGGGAGCAGCAGGCGGGTGGGAGAATTTTACTACATTGGGGATGGAGGCTACAAGAGGAGCGTCTGCCTAGAGCACGGTTTCGAGGGAGCTGTGGGGCTTCAAGAATCGACGGTTCTCCACGTTCCTTTTCTCCGTATCGACGGCTTATGATTTTTGTTTCTGGGGGCTGCGCGCGGAGACTGGCCGACGCGCCAGTGCGAAAGCGCCACGCGAACAACACTACCCCCACCCAACTGGTGTTCGGTTCGCTCGACCATTGCAGGCGCAGCCGACAAGCCAATCAGAGCCCGAGTAGAGTTCACAGGTGGTGTCCGTGGGGTGGTAGGGGGAGGAGGGGGTGGTTCTCCTCCCCAGGCGAGGGGGGACAGGAGGACACCTGAACGGTTGTTTGACCCGCACGGTCGCACCTCCGCCTTTGGCGACACTGTAGTAGCGTAACCCTTGGCTGGTGGTGGTGAAACAGTGGAGCTACCACCTGCCCAGGCGGAAGTCACGCCCAGATGAAACTGGTGGAGATGAAAATACTGTTCCATACAATGATCTGTTTCTGCACCGATCTCAAGTGCTGTTGCACACTCTTTATTGCATCGTTTGAACATAATGGCTAGATAGATAGAGAAGAGTTTCTGAAAGTGAGGAGTAATCCAATAAAGCTCTTTCTGAAACAATAACATAAACCACAATACATACAGCAACAGCTACTTGCGTAATCTTACCCCACATGCCTTGCTTGCATGCCTGTCCCCCGCGTATACAAGGTTTCCCCTCACATACGTGCCCATGATACGCCCTTGCAATGTGCTGCTGTTGTATGGTGTCACCGCATGGCGGTGGAACACTTGCACGTCCACACCCACTGTGAAAGAGGCTTCTGGGTCCCATATCACAAGATCGGCATCCTTGCCGGGTGCGATTGCTCCCTACAGAGAGCACCAAGAGCGGAAGAAAATAAATTGTTACAATGGAAAAAAATGGAGGAAGAAAGTCATACAGGCGGTCAAGAAGGTCTAATATACGCAGTTCTATGCTTACAGTGTTTTCTTACCTTTGACTGGAGTCCTGCAAGTTGTGCAGGTGCCTCACTCCACCAGCGCGCCAGTTGCATGAGGGACATATTGAATGCCTGGCCATGCGTCCATGTCACTGGCAGGCTCAGCTGGAGCAGCCACCACCATGCAGAAGATTGCAAACAGGGACACGCAAGGAGGAGGATTCCCAGGCCAGGCACAGGGAAAACCACATGGAAAAACCACACAGGAAAGGCTGTGTAAGAAGGCTGATAAGCATCTCTCATACCACATGGAAGTAAGCACAGCGGCAGTAATCATGAAGTGCAAGGAAAGAGCAAGGCAAGGCAAGCTCTCATTGCCCACTCAATTCATAAACAGAAGATGGCAAGGTGCCTTTCCACAGCATCATCTCACCTGCAGGCCTGCAATGCCGCCCCATGCAGTGAGGAAGTTGCCCGTGTCCAGGTTCTTGAGGGACGGGTGGCTGGGCGAGTGGTCCGAGGAAAGCATGTCAATGTTCCCATCCTGCAAGGCATGTACACCAGCCTCAGGGTTTGTCAATCAGGGCAGCTTCCATGAACCAGGGAGAACGACAGGGGAAGAAAGCTCAGCTTATACAGGTGGTCTAGGTTAGTTTGCATAGTGGGTCAGCCCAGTCAGATCCAGCCGCTTTGTTCCCAGGCTCAACTGTTCGTTGAATGGGCTTCATTTGTACGCCACTGGTGAAACTCACCAACTCATCCTTCAAACAAACTGCTTATCTGCCTGCCCAGCAGGTCCAACTCACCGCCACCCAGCTCTCCTCACGCAGTCCAGCCTTTTCTGCTTCTCTCACACATCATATTCCCGCCGAGTGCAGCGATTACACCTGGAACGCACTCACAGTCAAGTCAACCCACGCACCATGAGTGCCTGCCAGAGCATGCGGCGGTTGCTGTCGCTGCGGATGGGAGGGGCGCACTTGAACCGAGTGTCCCCAGGTGGCACGTCAGAGGACGCAAAGGCAAGGTAGTGTGGACATGTCTCCACCGTCACTGCTGCCCCTGCTGCCTTGGCTGCCTGTGAGAGTGCAAGCGTGCACAAGACAGGGAAAGGGAGAGTGCAGGGTGTAGGCTACGTGGAGGTAGGTCTGGTTGCACACAGGTAGGTCTGGTCATGCAGGAATGCACGCACATGACCCATGCACAAAGTTGAATACGACTTTTGCAAGCAACAAACACAGCAGGTCTGTGCAACAACACACCTGGATGGTGGGTACCGAGTGAACATCAGCGAGATGAACGATGTGCAGCTTTGCACCCTCCCACGGCTGCCCAGCTGCTGTCTTCTGTGCCACTCTCAGCACATGAGCGATCGCCTCACGCTCCCTGTACAAGTGCCAGGTGGCAGACAGGGGGAGGAGGTCGCAAGGTAGCAGATGCTGCTTCAGGAGCTTAAAGCATGGAGAAAAGGGAGGGTGCTTGTGTGAGCGAGGGGAAGGATCAAGAAGAGGAAAGAGTGACGAGGTAGGGGGGAAGCTGTTACATGCTGGGAGGTCTGGAAGCCTCGTAGGTTGCATACACCCGTGGGTCTCCATCACTCTTCTCTGGCTCTGTCCCTGCTGTGCTCCCAGCCCCACCATCAGTACTCCCCTCACTTTCCACCACAGCACGAATGTTACCCCCCTCCTCTGCATCACCACTGCTGACATTCCCACTGTTGTCATCACTGCTGCTGCTGCTAGGGTGAGAGGCAGTTGCGGAGGAGTCAGTTTCAGAAAGAACCACTTCTGAGTGAATCAGCAGAGGCAGCTTGGCTTTAGCCAGTACGGGTAGAGCGCTCTGAAACACGTGCCAGATGGAATGCGATGGTGTGGAGGGAAAGAAGAGGAGAGGAGGACGTGGGGAACCCTGAGAAGGAACAATGAAGCTTGTGAGGCCACTAATAGCGAGTTGAAGCAAGTTCCAACTGAAGAGACGCAGTGAACGGAAGGGGAAGGTAAAGTTCAGAGTCAAAACAGATGAAACAAGCATACTTGCAAATCTGGAAATCTGAATCTAGAACGACAGTATGGCGCAGAAGGGTCCGATCCGAGATAAGCATGAAGAGTGAAATATACCTCAAAGTGGGAGGAGTTGGTATGCGGAAAGTCATTGATGCCTGATGGGCACATGAACGACTGTGGGGTGCAGAAAAAGAATACAGACAGAGGGAGAATGGGGGTGAACGACAGAGGTAACGAATAGCATACACACTTCTTGCCAGTAGCAGCATATGAAATAAACTGGAAACGTTTCATCAACCGCTACCCTCAGTTCCCTGACATGAACAAGACAAGCCCCTCATACAGAGCTGTTTCGGAGCTCACCTTGAATCCCAGCACTCCAGCATCAACCAGGCGTTGCAGCTGGTGAGGATCGTTAGCGTTCTCCGGCACCAGACCAGCCCAGAACCCTGCACCCACGAACCACATGCGAGGGAGGGAGGGTATGAGAACGAGCAGAGAAAAGGGAGGGTGGGAGATGGAGGCGGTTTACAGAGCAGGATAGTGAGCTGAAAATTGATAGTTGTGACGCATAAGAATACTATGGGGTGATTCACTCACCTACGTCCACCATAATCTTAGATTCAGCAGCCTTGTACTGGCGCACATGCACAGATAGGATTGAGAATGCGCACATGCACATCCACGCAAAGAGGGTGGTAGGGGGCAGGAAGTGAGAGAAGGAGAGGGTTACAGGGGAGAATGCGGGGTAGACGAAAGCATACTTTGAAAGAATGGTAGATGAGTTAGTGCGGGCCAGAGAGTACGAATGGCATGAGACGATTTTTGGTCATGAATTGCATCCCAATGTTATTCTCTATTCCAGTGTCAAAACTCAATTTGAAGAAATAGGAAGGAAACGGGAAGCGGTTAGGAGAAGCTGCTGTGGGCTGTGGAGGAAAGAAGGGGTCTGTTCGTTGCTTCCTCACCTTCATCGCAAATGCTTCGATGGTGGTGGTGGTGGGGTAAGAATTGAGAGGCATGTCCACCAGTGCAGTCACACCACCTGCAAGGCCATCAGCCATCACCACCACCAACATGCCACACGAAGGAATCAGCAGCTGCCATATCTTGTAAGAGTCAGTCAGACATATATCCGAACGCAGTATAAAGCCGTCCGCATCCCATGCATCACCGTTGCTCTTCCCTCTCAGTCCTGATGCTCCCAATTCCCATGCATCACCGTTTCACACGGCCCCTCTAAGTCCTGATGCTTCCAATTCCCAGCTCCCTACCCACGCACGCCTGCCTCGCAACGCGTACATACAAACTCACCAGCGGCAGCGGCTCGTGTGCCTGTAACGAAGCCCTCCCATTCCTCCCGACCAGGCTCGTTCAGGTGTACATGGCTGAGGCAGGAATAGAACACGAGAGATCAGACAGACAGAGAATGTCCAGGATTGACAGGAGCGAAGAGAACAGCCAGTCGCCAGAGCTAAAAACATCATGTAGTCACGAATACAATCCGGATGAAAAAGAAGAACACCTTGTGAGAGAGGAGCGAAGCAAAGAAAGGAACGGGAAGGAGGTTTCCAGGCGTCAGTGTGCTACGTACACGTCGACTAGGCCAGGTGAGATTACAGCATCGCCACAGTCTAGCACAGGCAAGCCGGACGGTCTAGATTCCGCAGCCGTGCCTTCAATAACGGCTGTGATGACGCCATCGCGGACAGTGACTGAGACCTCGGAGAGCGGTGAGAAGAAGAAACGAAGAACACAACGTGAATTCGTCAGCTAGAACACAGGATGGAAGTGGGAAGAGGCGGGGATGTCTTGCGAGCAGGGGAATTGGAGTAACGCGGGAAATTGGAGTAACGGAGGGGGTCGTACCAGCAGCATGGATGACTCCGTTGGGTGTGACGACACGAGAGCTGACGAGGACGAAATCCTTGAAGTCGTGAAGGCTGCAGGACAGTGCCGCCTGTAATACGCATGGAGAGTACGATAAGGGAGGGGTGAGAGGGGAGGAACTGAGCACAGTGACGACGCAAGCTCGAAGATGTGCATGCAGTGGCTCATCACGCGTGGAGCCTGACCGAAGGAATGATGAAAGGAGATGTCTGGATGAATTTTCACTGTGAAAGAGTGGAGTTAGGAGGAAGACTGTACAGTAGACAGTGTAGCACCTGCTTGGCGTAGTACGGTGAGAGGATAAACGAGTAGGCGACAGCAGCAAGAAGCACCGTTAATGCCCAGCCACGGTATAGCGGTTGAAGAAGGTCCGCTAACAGGCCCATCGCGAACAGAGTCGAGAACTCAAGTTCGCACCTTTTGCACGCGTTGTTCAGTGAGCGTCTGGAATCCGCTACAGAAAGCGTACAATGGTAGTACTGTCTGCTAGTTGCTGCTAGCAGTCAGCTCGGGAGCCATTCCTTCGGTTCTGTTTAGGGAAGTGTTTCAGTCAGTTTAGTGGAGCTCCCGTGGAATGGCGAATGTGACTTCGGTGTTGGATTTGGCTGCTGTACCTGCTTCACGCTCGCCTCGCTGACGCCCCAATCGCGAACATCCCAAGACGAGGTCTGATTGGCTGAGAGAAACAAAGTGGTTGTCGCCTGCCAGCGTCCAGCCAATTGGGCGAATTTGCGAAATGGAAACTGCATGTGCATCACTGATGAGCGAAGCTCCCCTTTCGAGCATCCCGTCCCAACCCATGTGAAATTTGCGTGAGTCTCCTGAACCGGGTGCCGTGATTGGTCACTAAAATACGGTCAGGAGTGACCGCGACAAATTCGAGGGTATTCACTTCGTCATCTCTTGTTACTCGGTGAGAATAGAACATCGATGGGTTCTGGCAACAGTGGTTAGCCTTCTTTACAAGCATTATATATCTAAATTGTGAATGCATGTTCATATCGAAACACTTGGGAAGCCATCGCGTACGGAACTCACGCATGAAAGTTGATGATCTCCTGAGATGGTGGGGGGAACCCGAGACGCTGATGGTTCGCCATACCAGACCAGTGACACCACCAGTTAAAGCAAGGCATGTACTGTATTCGAGAAGTTCTAGGGATGCGCTGGATGATCGAACGGCTAACGTTCTCTTCATGCTAGGGCCATGTGATGGCGGCGATTAGCGGGTGCGGTGGTGGCAGAATGGTTACTGAGGGTAGTTATTGCTTATGAAATCTTTTGGAGAAATGCTAATTGAAAACATCTGGATGACCTCAAATAACATGTGAAAGGGACATCAAGAATAAACTTTTGAAATGATAAACGTCGTTTTTCCAAGACAACAAGCATCGTTAGAAAAAGGGCAGGGCAGTCTGAGCGCAACCAGTGGCTCCAGCGCGAGAATTGTGGTAACGGAAGAGTGGACGACAGTTGAGATGTGGAATTTCCTGCGTGCATTTGTTCCACCCCCCTCTGTGGGGTTGGTGGGGGAGGGTCAACCTGCGCTTTGTTGTGGAATGCAGCGCCGAATCTGCGCCGTTGTCACTCGCGGCTCGGCAGCGTGTAAATGTCGATGGATGCCCCGTCTCACAAACATTTCACACCAACTCCGAGAAAATCTCACACAATTCGTCCATTCATTTAGCGAGTGCCCCTCGACCGTGATTATCTGCTTCCACTAGTTAGCAAATTTGCTTACCAAGGCACGAACGGGACATAAGCAGCCGTCAACACCTACTCAGCAATCCACGCGTCATCTCAAAGACCCGCCACCGCCACTAATCGAGGATCGACATCAAGTTTTAGACATGGCGGGGAAGCTCTTGGGCGAGAAAGGATCAGCGAGCGAGGAGAGCAGCAACATGCTGGACTTCGATACGGCGGCAGCGGAGGCGGTGACGGAGGAGGAGCAGCCGGTGGAGCCGCTCGATAGCTTCGTGGAGCGCGCGCTCGTCAAGTCGCGCGCGCAGTACGACGCCATGTACCGCCAGTCACTCGACGACCCCGAGGCGTTCTGGGGCGCCATGTCGGCGCAGTACCACTGGGAGACTCCGTGGGAGGTGCGTCGCCGCATTGCATTCCGTCGCGGGCATTCTCCTGTTGTTTTACCAGCCCTTGTGCTTTGTATTTGCCGTTGAGTCGCTTGCGGTACTAGTCCTCATGCCATTAGAAGCAACACGCATTTTGAACACAAAGCATCAGCCAAACAAGAAAGAAAGTATTATTCCTTCGTACCTCAAGTATCATATGCGCGAGTCGAAAAACCTAGTATCTTACATTTCCTCGTCGCGCGAAACCCTCCGCCAGGTGCTGCAAGAGGGCAACATGGACGTGCGTGAAGGCGCGGTGGACATTAAGTGGTTCGTGGGCGGGCGCACCAACCTCTGCTACAATGCCGTGGACCGCCACGTGGCGGCGGGGCGCGGCGACAAGGTGGCCATTTTCTGGGAGGGCAACGACCTGGGTGTGTCGGGCCAGTGGACGTACTCGCAGCTGCTGGCTCAGGTGCGCGGCGCTCTGACAGCCATGGAATTGCATGTTGATGATATCGATTGATCTTCTGGCGTTGCCTGCGTATACTATAGTAAGTGTCTCAGACACTCTGGCATTCCGACTGGAACCTGCCGTGCCGCCTTTCATTTTTTTTTTTCGTTCCATGGCCGCGCCGCAGGTGTGCCGCATCGCCAACTACCTGCGGAGCGTGGGCGTGCGCAAGGGCGACGTGGTCACCATCTACCTGCCCATGGTCCCCGAGCTGCCCGCCGCCATGCTCGCGTGCGCGCGCATCGGCGCGGTGCACTCGGTGGTGTTCGCGGGGTTCTCCGCGGAGGCGCTCGCGGGGCGCATCGCCGACTCGGCATCGCGCGTCGTGCTGACGGCGTCCGCCGTGATGCGCGGGACGAAGCTGATCGCGCTGAAAAAGATCATCGACGAGGCCGTGGCGCAGTGCGGCGCCGCGCGTCTGGAGCCCAGCACGGTGCTGGTGTTCGATAACGACCTCGCCATGCAGGTATGCGGCGCGGGGAAGGTGACTTTGGTATGTCTTGCCTTGCCGTATTCGTATGTGCACAAGCATGTACACAGTCACACGTATACAGACATACAATCCCACACGTGTTGAGGCAAACTCGCTCAAGGCCTGCACACGGATCACCACAGGTTCGCAACCCTGATCAATATCACCTCTTCCCATCCTCCACTCGTCCGCCCGCCTCCATCTCCCCCGCCGTCGTCTCCCCCCATCCCATCAGCGCTCCCACGTGCCATTCGAGCCGGCGCGCGACGTGTGGTGGCAGGACGCGGTGCGCCTCCAACCCGACACGTGTCCCGTGGAGTGGATGGAGAGCGAGGACCCGCTCTTCCTGCTCTACACCTCGGGCAGCACCGGCAAGCCCAAGGGCGTGCAGCACACCACGGGCGGCTACATGGTCGGCGCGGGCACGAGCTTTAAATACATCTTCGACCATCACGAGGATGACGTGTATTGGTGCACGGCGGACTGCGGGTGGATCACGGGACACACGTATCTGGCGTACGGGCCGCTGCTGAATGGGTCGTCAATGGTGGTGTTCGAAGGCGTGCCCACGCACCCTGACGCCGGCCGCTGCTGGGACGTCGTTGATAAGTGCGTGCGCGGTGGGAAAAAAAGGGGAGAGGGGGAGGCGGGAAAGGGGAGGATGCGGGAGGGGGGATGGAGGCTGAATGGGGGGGGAGAGCAGGGGATGGAAGGTGAAGCATGGTATGGGCTGTGTGTGGTGTCTTGTTTGAGGCTGGAATCTTGCTTCAGGGTCTGAATCTCGTGACTAAAAATCGCTCTTGTGTGCTTCTCACCGTGTTTGCACCTCATTGCTGTGGTGTGTTGCGCCCACTGCCCTCGCTCGGATGATGATGCCATCAGGTACAATGTGTCTGTCTTCTACACGGCACCCACTGCCATCCGCGCCCTCATGCGCTGCGGCGACCAGGTGAGCCCTCTCCCTTCATCCTTACTCACCCCCATCCGTTATGCTCTATCACCCGCCTACCCCTCCCTACTCCTGCCACCTGCAACACCCTTCAGTTTTCGACAATATTCTGTCCCCAAAATGTCCTGTCTTTGCTCCGTTGTGCTGTGCTGGCAGTGGCCCGGCAAGTACAGCTTGGCGTCTCTGCGCCTGCTGGGGAGTGTGGGCGAGCCCATCAACCCCGAGGCATGGCGGTAAGAACCCATGTGCCATGACCCATGGAACATGACCCATGCGTCATGCACCATACACCACTCTAAACCATGCATTGTGCACCATGGCCCGCTTTCAGCACCTCCATTCCTCCTCCCGTCTTCTGCCCACCCATTCCCTCCCTCCCTCCCTCCCTCCCTCATATCTCTCCCTTTTTTCTCCATGCCCCTCCCTCACCACCTGCCCTCTGCGCCCACCAGCTGGTTCCACTCGGCAGTGGGCAGGGGGCGCTGCCCCATCGTCGACACCTGGTGGCAGACCGAGACAGGCGCTATCATGGTGAGCTGCTGCAAGTGAAACGAGACCAGCAGTTGGTGATGACGTTCGGTCTAGGGTGTGTGCATGGGCATGGAACACGCTTCACAATTGTTAAACACTGGCGCAGTTCTTGACAAACATGTTTCTAGTGCATGCCCATGCGCACTCACTCACACAACACTCACAACATCCCTAACCCGCTCTTTGCCTCCCGCCCTTCTTCCTTCACCCTTGCAGATCACCCCTCTCCCAGGCGCCATGCCCTTAAAGCCCGGGTGCGCGACGCTGCCCTTCTTTGGCGTGGAGCCGGTGGTGCTGGACGAGCAGGGCAGGGAGATACCTGCAATCGAGGGAGAGGAGGCGGCAGGGCTGCTGTGCATCAAGCGCCCCTGGCCCAGCATGATGCGCACCGTCGTCGGCGACCATGCTCGCTACGAAACCAACTACTTTGCACCCTTCCCGGTACACCTCACCTTAGCTTCTTTATTGTTCTTCTCGCTTTTAAACCTTCCCATGCATTGTCTAGAAGTTTCCCACCGCACCTCCCATAAGCCACATCACTCCTCCTCCAGTGCCCTCCATGGCTCGTTCACACTTTTCTTGCTCTCTCGATCCCCAAGGCCCGTGTTTGGAATCCAGCGTCAATCTTCCCCTCATGTCCTCACCATTTCCTCCTCCAGGGCTACTATTTCTCGGGGGACGGCTGTCGCAGGGATGCGGATGGCTTCTACTGGATCACAGGCCGGGTGGACGATGTCATCAACGTCAGGTGAATATACCCCGTTGCCCACCCCAGCTTCTTGCATGCTTGCAGGTTGCCACGTGGATCCCACACACGCTCCACTCCACCTACGCGTGTCCCACGTGTCCGTCTGTTTGCAGTCCGGCTGTGCTGTGCCTTCATCTCGCTTCTTCCCCAACTCGCTGCCCCCTCGCCCTCTTGCAGTGGTCACCGCATTGGGACAGCAGAGGTGGAGAGTGCGTTGGTGGCCCATGACATCTGCGCTGAGGTGCGTGGGAAAAAAAGCTTTTGCTGCGCTGGCATTCTGTGCAGGATTGACCTTGATCCGGCAAGCACTGCTTGCACAACTTCCCAATCCTTCTCCCTGCCTCTTCATGCCCATACGGACCACCCTTGTCTATCCCCACTACAGGCGGCGGTGGTGGGATATGAGCATCCCATCAAGGGGCAGGGCATCTACGCCTTTGTCACACTCATGGAAGGGTAAGTAGTTGACTGGATGGCCCCAGTTTCCACCAGGGTTTGCTCCTTACCTACTGTTCTGTACCTTTCCGAAATTTCTCTTCTCCATACGGTATCTTCATTTCTGCTCTGCACTTTATCTTTCAGAATTAAGCAGTCTGACGAGGTGAGGGCGCAGCTGAAGTCAGCAGTGCGCCAGCACATAGGGGCATTCGCTGCCCCTGATGTTATCCACTGGGCTCCCGGCCTTCCCAAGACTGTAAGCCTCCATTTCAGTAACTTTTGCTGGCATTTGTTTCATCGACTAGCACTAACGTATCCCCTTCTTTACTTGTGCAGCGGTCTGGAAAGATTATGCGACGCGTACTGCGCAAGATAGCTGCTAATGACATCGAAGCACTCGGTAAGTGTCAGATTGCGGGACCATGCTATTCCACACTCATCATTCCTTTCGTCATCCCTTCTAGTATGCCCTTATCGTTCACATTTGTTAAACTACTGTGCATCCCGTCATCCTGAATATGTGCAGGCGACCTTACAACGCTGGCAGACCCTTGTGTTGTGCAAAGCTTGATTGGCCTACGAGGCAAATGAGATGGTTCAAATAGAAAATAACCAAGCTGTGTATTTATTTATTAGGTTGTGTATATTCCTTTGTTCATATAATGGAAATAAATAGAAGTTATTGCAGTGATTTTTTCCAAGCGAAGTTCACGAACATCATGGAATTGCGTTAGAGACACTTTTCTTGCTTGCTTGGCTCTATATAATTTGCATGGCTTCCCCATAGGCTGTACGCTATGTTCTGTAACGCAACGTGTCTTTCCGGGGATTGCAGCCACCCTAGCCTGAGCTCGGATGTTTGCGAAAACTACCACCTTCTCCACCAGGAGTCAATCGTGCTCGCGACTACCAGTCAGATCCACGCATCAGCATTTTCACGGACCATCCCCGTCTGTTCCGCTAGTATTTTCTTCAATCCCTCAATTATTTTCTGCCAGCTTCAAGCAAGTGATTTTGCTGTACCCGATCTAGCTGCGGAGCACCCGAATCTACAGCTTTAAACATGGCGCCTTCATCTCAAGTGAGTAGGTCATTTGGCTAGTTCGACCATGGAGCCTTGCCTAGACCTATTCAAAGTTTCGTAGGAATCTATGCGTTTGCTGTTCTGAATGGTGAAAGGCAATACTTTGATTGCTGATAGTGGCCTCGCAACATCGTCGAAGTCGCGTATTGCCATACACACTCTTCCGACTCCCATTTTTGAGATATCAGACTCGTGTTCGCACCCTCCTCCTTCCCTCCATGCTTGTATTCTCTATACAGGATCTATTTCTCCTCTCCCCTCTGACCAGTCCCGTGCCTCAATCGATGTATCCGTTGCTGGCCGTCGCGCTTGTCACCGCCGGTCTCATCGCCACAGGAGCTTTCTTCGTGTACGTGCTCGGATTGTCACTCATGTTCTTTCGATTTAACAAGCACGGACTCCGTCGCGATCAGTATAAATGAATGATTGGCATAACGAGTGCGAACGGTATCGCATCATCCAGATTCGCAGTCGGACGTGCCATTTTAATCCGCAGGCTGACGTCGTCTGTTTTGGGTTCGTGCTGTAACCTTTCCTTCTCTCTCCCACCCTCGTGCCCTTCCCCCTAAACAGATATGAAGCCACTGTTTCGAAATTCAGCAGATATTTGGTTAGAGAATTACTCCTCTCAGCCATCGCGTCTGTGCTGTTGGTGAGTCTCGGTAGCTTATCTATAACACTCAGTACCCCCCCCTTTGTAATTGCCTTTTCCACCCCTGTAGTCTCCATTCCAATTAATGCCGTTTCAGTTTACTTATGCTGATGCATTTTCACTGATGTTTCTGACAACTTGTCCTTCCTAATCAGGGTTTTGGCACACTCTTCCTCTTCCTATGGACGGGGGTGTACGTCTGAGCCGTTGTGTAACAAACTGGAGGGTGGGTGGGGGGCAAACAAGGTGGGGGTTGAAGAGACACGTCTTATTTTTGGCACTAACATTATGCGTACGACTAGTGCCATAGCTATGAAGGCATGTCGTGTCATGTGATTGGTTATAGTTGATCAGGCTGCTAAGGTATGCCATTATTTTCTAGTACAGCAATGGAGGCTGGATTGTATCTGATACATATCTCACAAACCTACTCTGAAAGGTCAATGTTATTTGAGCTCCTATGGATGGTCAGGTGGTAGGTGTCACAACGAGCACATGCCATGCCACACAATGTGCAACTACCGTATGTACAGTGACAAATGCGGGGCCTCCCATTGTGGGTACCATCCCCAAGCTCTCCTGGACATGAATTTTACTATGAATGAGCAATCGTGACCAAGCAAGCAGACGACTATGAATCATTGGCTCCTTGGCTCTGCCCTGGCTGTTGGCCCTGCCCCTCTGCTTGCTCCTGCTCCTGCTGTGCCAGTGCTGCCGCTTCTCTCTTCATGACCTCCTTGAGGGCAGTGCAGAAGAATGGTCTCACCAGATTGGCCTCCATGGCGCTCAGATTCACAAGCTGGTGGGGTGAAAGATGGAACACAGGTTGTGGCAGGAGGGAAAGCAAAATTGAGCGTATAGGGGAAAAGACAGGAGCAAATTCACACAACAGTAAAGCAGTAATCACATGTACAGCAGTAATCGTCAGAACCCAACAGCACCCCCCTATCACACCTTGACAGCGTTGGTAGCAGAGGAGAGTTTCTTGAGGCCCTGGTGTATCTTATTGAACCGCACGTCTCGAATGTCCTGCAGCAATGCACGCAGCTGGGCACAGTGGAGGGGATGATCGTAACGAAGGGGCAAAGGTCATGATAGCGGCGCAGAAAGAGATGCACGGAACATGAGAGTGAGATTAGAACTACACTAAATTGAGGTGGAGAACATGAATGTAGGAAACATCAACTATAGACATGGAATGTGACAATCGGTGATTGGTGACAAATACTAAAGGACGGGGTGCAGGAAAGTAAGTTTCACCTTGTATGCATCCGGAATGTCGACGCCATGCCTGGCGGGAAATGTGAAGTGGGAACAGGGGAGTCGGGGAAGAGAGGCAGAGGGAAAGGTGAGGTTGGTGTGAAAGAAGAAGGCTGGCGAGGAACAAGAGTCAAGCTGGAGTGTTGAGCAATGGAGGAAGAGATGCATTACTTCTCTGCTGAGAAGAGCAGCTGGGAAATCTCAATATAGTGGAACGGCATTGGTTGAAAGCCCTCGTTCTCCCTCTCTGCCTCCAGTATCTCTGTCAACCGATCTGCAAGCAAGAAAGTGCAACAAACATGAGCGCCACGTTTCGAATCAGATCATGCAGAAAATGACAGCAGGCAGAGACCAAGTGCAAGCATGTGTCCACGTAATACCCACAAAAGCACTGGAATAAAAACATTGCCAACAGCACAGCACGAGACAGGGGATGAGGATGCCGGTCACCTGCAGCAAGCCACGGGGGCGGTTGGATGGAGCACTTGGCGCGCTTTTTGAGAGCAATGGCCAGCCATAGCGGCACCTGCAGGGCAATCTGAGGCCTGAACGGCCCAATGTCGCCCTGGAGACAGGAGGAAGAGAACGGAACGAAACAGAACGGCGGGGTGGATGGACAGTTGACATGGGATGCTGGTTGAGAAGGCTGGCATAAGAAAGGAGAACGAGCAGCGTAACAACAGGCAAAGGCGTGTCTGCGTGCGTGTCGGTGAAGGCGAGGGAGAGGTCAGATGTGAGTGCGCGTGCGCGGTGTGGGTGGTGGCGCGTCTCACGGCGTGGAGGTGCAGCGCGTCGGCGCGGAAGTTGGGCACGATGGACACGAGCTCGTTCTCCGCTATGAACTCGATCTGCGTGCATGCACACAGTCGAAAACACACGAGCACACGCTCACACGCACACGCATACTCACACACGCACACGCACGCATGCACAAGAACACACGCAAACGCACACGCAGACGGGACGACGCAGTGAGAGGGGAACGGGCGGAGGACACATCAGCTACTGGAAAACGACTTAACACGACCTATTGTAAATTAGTGGGCTTTTGAAACATATGCTCCGCCTGGGCTCACTCCCCCGTTACCCCAGCCCAAGATTCTCTTCCGTTTGCCTTCCCTCCTCTCCCCTCAACGATCTCGCTTTCCTCACCACCATCGTCTTGCCTCTGATTCTAAGAACACCGCGCCTTTGCTGTCGCTAGATCCTGCCGCCATCCTAAGCGACCGCGTTTGCTGGAGGAGCTACTACACGAACACAGGAAGCGGCACTGGCGTCTGAACCTCCAGAAGCAGGTGCAATCGAAACGAATTGGTGTTCAGAACACGGAAGAGATGTCTGTTGAGAGTTATGGCAGACCCACAAAAGCTATTGGTTAAGAGCGAGTGAGTGACGTGAGTGATTTATTCAGGCCGAAGCACATCAGCTGGAGCAACCATGAGACAATCAGGCATCCTCGATGAGTGCTGGTTGCAATTGGAGGGAACGAAACATTCGAGAGGGAGGCGTCAGCGCAAAATAATCTGTGTGGACAAGCTACGGAAGCAATATGGACGTTAGCAGAGCAATTGGGTATCAGCAGATGGGTTGCGCGGGGTTAGGGCGCGGCACCGTTATTTATGGGTAGCGCACCGTTTAAAACCGCTCTAGAAGGGCGTGGAACATCTGGGATTTTTTTTTTTCCAAACAAACGGTACGGTTCGGACGAGTACCGCTCTAAAACATACTATAACCTACTTCATCGTAGCGTCTAAAAAGAAGACCGTTTTTAACCGTTCAGGCTTTGCGGTTCGTTTGTTGACAAATCATTTCCCGAAGAAAGATGTGCAGCCCGCCAGCCCGCCGAACCCCACGCTGGTTTCCTTGATGGGCTGCCTTCCCTAAGCAGAATCTCCGCACGACTTCGGTACCTCGTTTTGCGACAGCTTTCGTTTAGGCCGAAGTAGCTTACGCAAGGCGACTTGGCTGGAGAAATCACAGAAACTGAAGCAAAATTATCACCGAGAAAACATCCTAGTGGTGCTTCGCGCGCTCCTCGTGACCGTTCGCCTTTCTGTCCACTTCCCCTGCCTTAGCTTTCGTTCCCTCGCACGCTATGCGTCGTACGCGCCGTCAGATCCGGCAGGTGGTGACAGAGAGGGAGGAGGAGGAGAGGTCGCACAGTGAAGAGGGTTTTTTTTTTTTTTTTTTTTGGGTTGCGAAGCAACCCTTTACGATCGATTTTGACAAATTTTCTTTCATGTTTTTTTTTAATAAAACATGAAATAAAATTCTTAAGCTACAGTACTACCCTTCCCATAGCAGTTTTTGTAATAGTATTGTGCATAAATTCTATACTGTTTCTCTTATATCTTTTACTGTTTGCGTTTGATATTGTTGTGATAATTGCATGTGATAAAATTTATGCATACTAGTAATGAATTACATGCCACGCATGTTTAAATGAATGTAATAATGAAGCATGATATATAAATGCATACCGATGAAAATGCTTTTGTATGCATATGATATGCTGAAATGCACCACACCAGTATATCATACAAATGCGTGATAGTTAACGACCCAAAAACTAGGCTACCGCATCCCCTGCCTAGCATGGGGGGGAAGTCAATAGCAAAGTCTTTGAATAATCAACTAGCACATGAAACAATACAATCTGTTAACTCTAAAAAAGAGGTTCACTCTATCAAATCCAGTTCGAAGTGGCAAACACACGAGTCACTGAGTGCGCCAATGAACCAATGAGAAATGATAGAAATGAATCCCTTTTTTAAAATTGACAGACATGCATTGATATTGCAATGACAGATGGAATGAATGAATTCACATAAACAAACATATCCACACAACAAAAACACACGAGCTCTGGCAAACCCAGCCAAAAAACGCGCAATACACGTGATACTAAATAAGAAGCAAATCAACATTAAAATGACAATACGATAAATCCTAATGACCAATACACATTTTCCAAATTGAAATCGCATTCCTGACCAGCAAGGCTCCTGAGAAACGGGTTCAGGAAGTGGAAAGGAGGAACAGACAGAATTAGCCGGTACAACAAACATAACAGAAAAAGGTATGAGATGTGATGAAATGAAGAGAAAAAAGAATAACGAAGAAGCAAATAAAACAATACAAGGGCTAAAAAAACGACGTGAATATTGAATGGTTAGACCTGACAAAGAGCAAGGAGAAGAATGTACCAAGGCATAAAACGAGAACGGGAACAGAGGGACAAAATAACGAGACAGTAAACGAAAGCAGAGAATATAACGAATACGGAGAGCGAGAACAACGGAGAGCGAGAGCGAGAGCGAGAGAGGACAGGAGAGAGAGGACGAGAGATGGAGGACGGGAGAGAGAGGACGAGAGAGAGAGAGAAAACGATTCATGGTAAAACGATTCATGAGAGAGCGCGATAGGGCACGAAAGAAACGATGCAGCCTTATTAACGACCTAAAAAAAACAAGGACAACTGACGCCTTTACGAAACCTAGGCTTCAACGATTTTCATTCCATGAAAACGACCAAATGCGGAAGTACGAAGATCTTAGTCTAGCTTGTGATCGTTTAACTTAGTCTCTAGTTAATAGCTACGGGTCTTCTAACCAACGAGATGTTCTTTATCTCTTCTTTTATCTCACTTTCAAACACAGTCGGTAACAAAAGAAGGGAAGGCTAAGGAGATAAGAAAGCGAAGATGATGGTGATAAGATGAGATCTAAGCGAAGATTATGATGATGATAAGAAAGCACCTATGTCTGGTTTAGTCTGGTATGTAACATCCAACTTAGATCTAAGTTATAGATTAGGTTCTTCTCACCAGTGGCATAAAAATGGAGTAGATGGCGCATACGTAGCAGGCCACCTGAAGGAAGAACGCAAAAGGATATAAAAAAGAGAGAAAGAAAGAGGTAAAACCACCAGTATTGATCGAATTAACAAGGAAAATGAACATGGCTAGAACTAGATATAAAAGTGATGAGATCGCGTCAAGAGAGACAGACAAAAATCGAATAAGTGGAAAAGAAGCACTAGCTAAGAACGACCTAACTGTTAGCAGCCCAAAAAAACAGATCTAGATGTTAAGTTAATATGGCGGACGTCAAGATTCTACCTAACAACAACATCTAACAAGCTATATTACGAGTCGTCGGTAGTTACGATCCACCATATGCTAAGTTTAGTCTAGCGTAGAACATCTAACTTAGTTATGTTCAACGAGGGTAATTCTCACCACGGGTAGGTTGGTGGAGCGTGACTAGCGGCCGTTATAGTTTACAACCAAGCTCCAGTGGCGAGAAGGGAGAGTGGAAAGGAAGAAACAGAAACCCTAAAGGCGTTGCTAACTTTCTATAACTATTTTCTTAAAAATCTGTATCAGTTGTCCTCGCGCAGTCGGTTGAAAACGACCTTCGGAACCGCAAGGTTTGATGCTCGATTCCTGCGGTACGCACTTTTCAAACCTCAGACTAAACACCCCAAAAAGGGATGGAAATCATGTAACTTTCTTTATGTAATTTTGTTTTTATTTTTTTGTACAATGAGAAATGCTTCGCAACCCTAAGACGATTTCGTCGCCTCTTGTTTTTTTTTTTTTTTTTTTCATGGGGATTTTAAGAAGGCCTCTCGCGCGCCATCATCACCTAACAGATTTTCCGTGTCAGCAGATGCGTGATGTGCAATTTTGATGTGCGTGTTTTCATAAGAAAGGGGAACTTAGGGCGCGTGTCTTTTGTAAAATCCATTCAAAACTCGAGTTTTGAGTTGAACTTACGCAGTTGAACCTAGGTCGACCTAGGCTCAACAATATTGGTTGCTGTAGCCCGAGTCGCTGCTCCTCAACCCACAAGAACCAAAAGACACGCGAAAGTTCAACAATCGAAGTTGAACTTTCCCGAGTCGCGGTTAACCTACGTAGGTTACCCTGTTTTTGACGCGTTTTTGGTTTTTCCGTAACCCTTTTTCCGAAGTCTTTCGTGCGCACGAAATGTGCTACGACCGTCGCCTAAATTCGCAACTACCTAGTGCATTTTCAAGAGGACACACGAGTGAAATTTTGTGCATGCCTAGTTTCAACCGAAAGTTCAACCCATTCGTCATCTACAATGTTGTACTAGGACACACGATGCACAAGCGAAACATTTAGCGAGATTCGCGAATAAGGTTACCAGCAAAAGTTCCACCAAATTTTCGAACCTGTACAGCAAAAGACACGCGCCCTTATTGACCAAACTTATATAACCGTGCCAAGGTCTTGATCTAAGCTGGCCAGATACTACCGTCATCGCCCGGATATAAGACATATATGTCTTATCTCGTACACGGGCAAAAATGCTTACGTTATCTTGTAAACGGGATGCTTCAGGGTGTCTTATAAATCTTATAAATGGAAACTTTTTAAACTACTTTTTAAATATTTTCTGTACTTCTTGTCAGAATATTATGGTCTAGCCTGTAGTGGGGTGCTCTGTAGCGAGTACAACCCTTCTAGGGTTTGCTATTTGTATCCCCATTCTTGCTAGTTCAGTCCTCTCTTTTTTGCCTAATTCTTCTCAACATGCTATCAGAGCAGGACGATCCTGTTGGGTCGATCCTGTGGGTGGGCCCACCACCAAATGCTTCCGCTGCTGTTCTAATGTTCGTGCGACGACTTCTTCCTGCCGCGCGCTCCGCGCGCGGCGAATTTTTTCTAGGGTTTCGGCGGTTTTCATCCCGCCGTGCGCTCGGGGCGCGCGGCGGTTTTCTGCCCGCCGTGCGCCCCGAGGCGCGCGGCGGTTTCCCACCGTCGAAGCGCCCTCCCCCCGTCGCCGTCGACCCCCCGCGTCGCCCCGCAGCCCCGCGCGTCGCCCCCGACGTCTCGTCGCGACACCTTGGGGAGCCGCGCGCGGCCCCCCGCTACCTCGTCGCGACGCCGTGGGGAGCTACGCGCGGCCCCCGCTGCCTCGTCGCGACGCCTTAGGGAGCCGCGCGCGGCCCCCCGCTGCCCCGTCGAGGCGCCCTGGGGAGCCGCGCGCGGCCCCCGCTGCCCAGAGGTGGCGCCCTGGGGGTCGCGCGCCTTCCCCCTCGCCGTCCCCCGCGCTCCTTCTCCCTTTCGCCCGTTTTAGGGTTTGGGGGTGGGGAGTGTGGGGGTGGCGGCTGTGGGGGTGTCGGTTGTGCGTTACTCTACCTACTCCTCCTCCTCCCTAGTCTCCCTCTACTGCAGCTGCCGCTG